TATTATAAAGTGAAGTGAAAGTCACTCAGTTGTGCCCTACTCTTTGTGACCCCATGGACTGTAGACCGCCAGGCTTCTCTGTCCATGGGATTCTCCAGGCAAGAATACTGACGTGGGTAGTCATTCCTTTCTTCAGGGAATCTTCCTGACCCAGGAGTAGAATCTGGGTCTTCTCCTCCTATTTATATATATGTAAGCCATATATATGTATATATGGCTTACATATATATCTTATATATTGGAAGGACGGATGCTGAAGCTGAAACTCCAATACTTTGGCCACCTGATGAGAAGAACTGACTCTTTGGAAAAGACCCTGATGCTGGGAAAGATTGAAGGCAGGAGGAGAAGGGGATGACAGAGGATGAGATGGTTGGATGGCATCACCGACTTGATGGACATGATTTTGAGCAAGCTCCAGGAGTTGGTGAAGGACAGGGAAGCCTGGCATGCTGTAGTCCATGGGGCTGCAAAGAATCAGACACGACTGAGCGACTGAACTGAACTGAACTGATATATTTTATAGGGCTTCCAAGATGGTGCACTGGTAAAGAATTCTCTTGCCAATGTAGGAGATGCAAAAAGATGTGGGTTCAATTCCTGGATTGGGAAGATCCTCTGGAATAGGAGGGGTCTTCCCTGATAACTCAGTTGGTGAAGAATCTGTCTGCAGTGCAGGAGACCCTGGTTCGATTCTTGGGCCAGGATGATCCACTGGAGGAGGGATAGGCTACTCACTCTAGTATTCTTGCCTGGAGAATTCCATGGACAGAGGAGCCTGGCAGGCTGCAGTCTGTGGGGTTGCAAAGAATAGGACGCAACATGTATTTTATAATTGTCTTAAGCAAATGTGGTATCCAAAAATCAAAATTCCTTTTAAGTATGAGATCTTGCTTTTTGGAGACTGTTTTAAACCTAAACACAGCCTAAACACAGCCACCTCCAGTGGATAATTTAAACTCTTATTTTTCCAAAAAAATTATAGTGTGCCTACATGATTGTGTTGACAGTTCTGATGAAGTTTACACAGTGCTGACCAACAACCATTCTTGAACACATGAGTTAATCAAACAAACACTTTAATAACATGCTAGGGAAGAGGAGTTGCCTTTCTTGTAAAACTCAAGAGACATCAATCAGGAAACTTTTTTATTCTTTTAAGCAATGTGGTTGACTGACATTGATATAATTCCCTGGAGGCTGTTTCCAGGCAAACTCTGTAACTAAGTTGAAGGAATAGGGAGGCATGTTAAATCTTTTTAATGAAAGATTAGCATCTCAATAAATCAAGGGGTGTAAAGGAAAATAATAAGAGAAAAATGGAGATTATCCACCAAGAGAATCACTAGTTGCTCTCTGGGTACTCGATGATTTACTCTTTGTCCTTCTAATAATCTCTTAACATTTTTTTTGCTTTTGGTCCCCTATGGAAGAGAAACCATTGGTATATGTGTATTTTTAAAGGGAGAATAAAAAATCTGTATGTATATGTAGAAATATAAATAAATACACAAACACATGCACATATAACTATACAAATAAATCACCTCTTTCCATAGATAGAAAAGAGTCTGACTAAGGATCTTTGTGGTCTAGTGGCTAAGATCCTAGGCTCCCAATGCAGGGGCTTGGGGTTTGATGTTCTGTCAGGGAACTAGATCCCACCTACTGAAGCTAACAGTTTGTATGCTGCAAATTAAGTTTCCACATGCCAGAATGAAGCCAGAGATCCCTGGTACCATAATTGAGAGCTGGGGCAGCCAAATGAATAAAATGAATATTTGGGGAAAAAAATCTAATTGGGTTCTGACCAAAGTTATCACCCCAGAGCTTCTCTTTGCTTAACTCAGGCAGTGATGATGAAGAAGTACATAAAGTTCAGGCATCAGTCTTCTCTCTGGTCCACACTGTCTAAGAGGCAAGTGGCATTTAGGGTACAGACTAATAACTGTGGGTCACACACTGAAGAAAGCATTCTACTTGAAAATATCCTATACAAAATATCAACTGATTTCGACCCTACTATCTTTTTTCTTAATAACTAGTAAAACCTTGCAATATACTTATCATAGTTAGTAGCTATGGAGAAGTGTGTGTGTGTGTGTGAGAGAGAGAGAGTCGTTCAGTTGGGTCTGACTCTGTGTGATCTCATGGACTGTAGTTCACCAGGCTCCTCAGTCCATGGAATTCTCTAGGCAAGAATCCTGGAGTGGGTTGCCATTCCCTTCTCCAGCTATGGAGGTGTAATTGCCAAGATATTTCCAAAAATGACCATTTAAAACAATGGCACTCTTTTATCTTTAAATGATAGTAACTTTTCTATTGAAGCCTCTGCCTAAATTCCTAATGCTGGCAGAAAATTATTATCTCCACCATTTAGAGTAGATTTGTTTCACTCACAATCGATGGGTTCTTTGAGTTTGTCCACGTTATAGCTTTCCCAAAATATGTATGAAGAGTATAGTACGTACTAGATTTTGGAAAGGAAGGAAGTCTTTAAAAAAAGGGCAGCAGTCAACCATGTTGTCCTGTTCGAGCATGCACATGTTTTATTTGAGTATTCTCCAAAGGTCTATTTTTTTCCAGCATAATGCAGATATTATGCTATCCTTTGAAATAAGATATATGAATTTCAAACAAAATTGTCAAAAACAATGACCTTGGTTACTCCATATGGTACACAGAAATAATTACATTTCACTTACAATACAGATGCACTTAACACAGTCATCAATAGTCATTCACCACCAACACAGTATATTTTTAAATCACCTAAAACACCAAAAAGTTTTTTTTTCTTTTCCAAAAGTCTAAAGAAATTAATAGTTTTGGATAAATGATAACTTGAAAAAGGAGGCAGAATTGTCAACAGAAATAATCTAACTGCATTTTTAAAGGTAATATTAAGACCATGAAAATAGAACTTTTTATTGGGAATAAAGACCTAAGTATTCCTGATTGTGTTTTGTTTAACCTACTTTTTAAAAAGTTTTTCAACAAATGCCATCAAAGAAGTTTCACTATATATTTGCTCTAGAAGCATAAAGTGACATGAGGCAGGTGTTAATATAATTGTTAATATTCACACTCAGGAAGATTAGTGACTTTTAAAAAGACATACTAGGTATAAAGCCAGTTTTTCCCTAGAGATAGTAGAGTTTATCTGACTTTCACTCAGCAAGTGTTTATAAATCTACTGTGTGCACAGCTTTGTTCTAGAAGCTAGTCTAGAAATGGGAAGCAAGAATTTCTGGCTTTACTTGAAAATGGTTGGATTAATTCCTTTTCATGATAAATTATGATTAAGCATTTTAAAATCTCTATAGTAGAGGGATAATTATTTACTCTTTCCATGTATTGAAGCTAAACTTTATTCCTTACAGTGGTGGTTTGGAATGAACAGAACTTTTCATTGGACATAAAACTTTTTTACATTGTCACGTGCAGACATGTCTGCTGATATATTTTAAAGGTGAAAAGATATCAAGACTTTTCACTTAAATGTACATAGAGATCAATTTTGCATCATCAAAATCCTGTCCTCCTGATTTAGAGGAGAAAAATTGCTCCTTGCAATAAACAGGAAACTTTCTGAGACAAATCTGTGCTGCCTTCCTCAATGGCATAGAAAGCGTGCTTTCATCAAATACTGCTACATAAAGTACTCCAGTTTATCTCTGCACTTCAATTCACATTAGGTATTCTCAAAATGTATTTGAGATCTAAAGCAAAATAAATAATACATCATGTGAGATTCTGGGATCACTGGTTCTGTGATATTAGTCCCAGCTAATTTGTTTCATGAAACATACAATGATAAATCCAGTATCTGGACTTTTCCATAACAGCAAAAAGTCAGAGATAATTTACAGATGTCAACTCCTTTTTTTCCCCTAATTTTTGACAAACGGATAGAGAATGATGGTAATCTGCTGATAAGATAATTTGTTGGGGAATACAAAAGTAGGAAATTCCTTTGAACTACAAAATGTTAGTCTAGTTGATGAGGATAAACCCAATAGAAAGATGCTATAGAAATACAGGAACAAATAATTCACTGTCACAGGAATACAGTGGACCAAACAATATTACAGAAAAACATTTATGGCACAAGGGTTTTGGATTAAAATGTTATCTAAAACCTGGCCACACCAGAAGTTTTTCTATGGAATGTGGCTCTTAATGTATCTATGAAGATCTGGAAATACAACAACAAAAATATCCTGATTCCTGATACAACAAGTGTACAATTAATTATTGCAGTTGTAACAGTATCTAGGTGCAAGGTAAAACAATGATTCATACTGAACTATCTGAACACTTTAGATGTACTAGTGAGCATCCCCATGAGAAATACTGCAGTTCTAAAAGGAGTTTATTTGCACAGCCCACCATGGAACATGAACAATCAGCTTGTTGTAAGTGCACAGAAATTCCCTCTTTCTACTAGTATAGTTTATCATGCCTATTCTGAAGACAACATAAGGAAACTGAGATAACGGCTCCAAAGAATTCTAGCATGCATTATGATGGTTTCCTTCAGTCAATACAAATGTGTTGTGTGTTTGTGTTTTTTTAATGTGTAATCATCTTCATCATCGCCAATGTTCATGGTTTTAACAGGAAAAATTTTTATCAAAATGTTTTCCATATTTTTTGTTTTGCATTCAACTGGAACATTATGTTCAAAGATTTATTTTATTAAAAAAGAGTTCTGGTCATAAGAAGCATCAATAGGCGGCATTTCATTTGTGCTCATTCACAAAGTCAAAGGGCCACAGACTATTTTATTTCTCTGTATAACAGGTCAAACTGTCCAGAAATGCCATTTGGTGGTTTTATTTCCATCCACAAGTGTGGAAGCTTTGTGTTTGTTTCATTACCAACCTCCTTGCTTTGTCATTTTAATCTGCAGAGTGTTTATTATTTCTTCTTTCTTCCACATTGGGACTGTTTCCACAGCCAGTGCTCAAATTCTCTTGAACCTGATTCCAATTGTCTTACAGAGCAGACACTCTGACGATATTGCCTCCTGAGTACTCGGGAGACTCTGGCCTGTCATCTCCTTCGGGGGTGGTGACTGGAGGTGTTGGGATGCTTATTATTGCTGTAGTCACATAAGGTTGTTCACAGTTTAGTTTAACGCACTCTTCCATTTTGGCATTTAAACTGGATCGGCTGATGAGGAAGAAAAGATTGAAGAAAGAAGGTTGTTTACTTAAAATTTTTTTTCTTATAACTAAAGAATACATATTTTCATGTTTATCATAACATTTTAAAAGGTTAAAAACAATCACCATGACTAAGAAAAATGAAACACCAAAGCTTAAGATAAATTAACGAGAACATTAGGGCGTTAACATCAAAGAAATATCTAAAAGCCAGCTCAATGTGGTTCAATTAGTGTTCCTCAGTGTTTCCTGCTTTGAGATTGCAAAAAAGAGGATCAGATGAGTAAGAGGATCAGATGAGTTTCAGAAAAACCTAGGCTGAGTAAAGTAAAAGAGTTTTCTTTAAGATAGGATCTCTGAGAGGTCTGAGAAACCATAATGAAAGGGATGGGCTTCCCAGGTGGCACTAGTGGTGAAGAATCCTCCTGCCAATGCAGGAGATGTGGGTTTGATCCCTGGATTGGGAAGATCCTCTGCAGAAGGAAATGGCAACCCACTCCAGTATTCCTGCCTGGAAAATCTCATGAACAGAGGAACCTGGTGGGCTATAGTCTGTGGGGTTGCAAAAGAGTTGGACATGACATAGTGATTAAACAACAATAACAATGAAGGGGATATACCCTGTGGATATATCTTAATTCTTTTGACCACAGAATCATTTTACTATCTTGTCTCTTTGGGATACAGGATGCCCTTAAAGCTCTCAACTTAGTGACAGTAAATGTTAAGAATTCAAGTTAGTCATTATCAATACTTAAAAGTTTCCCCCAGTGTTATTCTTGCATGAGTTATATATACTCTGTGTGAGGGGGAGAGAGGGAAAGGGATAGGAGCTTTAAACTATTCTTTTTCATAGGAAATTTAATTAAGATCTTTGTGGCCCAAGATTTTTTTTTTTTTCTCCTGAACACTCCTCCATTTCCTACCTTGTTTTGGAATAAATGTAAAGCAACATACAGGTAGACTATCTTAGAGACAGAAATCTTCATTGCTCCAACATTTAACATTCTGATTCCAGAAACATCTGATTACATAAAATCGACAGAGCCTGAATTCAGAAGCTCGTCTAGACTTTCCAAAGATGATTGGATGTCAACAAAGAAGTTGGACTGAATTAATGGTTTGTTAATCTGAAAAGGTAAGCGTTTTAATTTGAAGAGCAAAGGAAAATCATTTGGGCAGAAATAGATATTTTTAATGATTTACCTGGTTGAAATGTACTACTTATTATTACACATGCATGATTATGGTCAAAACAAGTGGCACAGAAAAAGAAGCAAAGGGAAAATGCCAATAGAAAAATTACCTTAAATTGTCCATAAACTCACCAGAGGTAAACAATTTGAACGTTTCACTTACCTTTGTTTTTGGTATTGGATTGGTTTTTGTGTTTGCTGAGGCCCAAAATACCTTCACGATCAAAACTGTATACTGATTCAAAAGATCCTTCTGGCATAGTTTTATTTTTCACTGTGACAACGACTATGTTGATATATTTTGGTGTGTATTGAATACCTTTCATTCATATCAATGTTAATTTGTCACTTGTGGTTGTGTTGACTATAATTTCAGGTCATTCATGTTTACTTAGGGGACTCCTAAGTGGAGAGGTATCTGCTTAAGAAAAAGTTGTGAGGTTGAAGAGGTAGAAATATATTTGTGAATGCCTGACCTTCTTATCTTCTTTCTACTCTTTTAGTACTGATTTAGCTACTACCTTTGCCTCTTCATGAATATTACAGTAGCTCGATTTTCCTATTTGTTTCAGATCAGTTTTGTCTCATTCTAAACCCAAGGAGCTAGGATTTAGATGCCACAGAGGTAGCAACATGACAGCCGGTGCAGATGTGCTCTGAAAAATAGCACAGGTGTGTGGACGCACACAAGTTAATCTCAGGTACCTGTTAGATAGTGGGGTTCTCTCCACACATCTAATCTGAATCGTGCTGAGTTCTTGCACGCTCCCTCGGTGGCTTCCAGATACGTTGGCGTTTGGAATGCGGAAGGTTTTCTTGTGTCGTCTTGAACAGCAAGTGCTGGTGACTCCTTGTTGTGAAGAAAGAGAGGGACTGTGACTTGAAGGACGATTAACTGTTGCAACTTCCATGCAGCTTTCTTCAAAGACTTGTTCATCCACAAATTCGTGATTCTATTTCGTAGTGGTAAGAAATGTGGAGAAAGCACAGAAACACAGTTTAACTTTAAAAATATTTCTTTATTATTTTTAGTGAAGTATAGTTGACTTACAGTATTATCACATTTTACCTTTAAAAAAAAAAAAAAGATTTCAATAGCTTTCTTTTTAGAACTCAAATATGCCCACAGTACATTTAGACTATCTAATGGGTAAAGAAAATACCATTTTCATAATAATTAGAATAGCAAAGTTTCTTGTTGTCGTTTGTATGAAAATAATATCTCTCCAGTTAGAATCTGAGATTGATATACACAGGCTGATTTAGCATCCATTATAGACTAACTTTATTTGAAATATCATTTATTAATTTAAACATATAATCTGGAAGTTATAAACTAAATATTAAAACCCTCAAAAATGAGTATAGATAATACCCATAGGGAATGTGCAAATTTACATGTATGTTATTTTTTAAACAAATTGACAGACTGAAGTTATGATAAAGAGACTATTTTAATAGAATGTTCCAAGTTAGATTGTCTGTTATATATTAGCAGATATTTTCACATGGGATTGAAAATATTTTTTAATCAGAAAAATGAGATAACTAAGACATTTCCCATTTCTTTAGATGCTGCTCTAAAATTCCCAGTGTATAGAAAAATATGACTTATTAAATAAGTAACATATATTTATCAAAATATATTACTTTATATTTGACCTAGAAGCGGTTAACACTGAACTTCTGAGGTCTCCATTCTTATCTTTGTAATATATTACTGGTTGGACCCATGATCTCTACCTTTGATCTTATAACCCAGAAGTCAACAGTGGTGGACATCATTTCACATAGCACATCATACAGAAACACAGTGTAAAATTTAATTTTAAAATATTTAATAAAGAACTGGCTCATAAACCATGTATGGAAGACTTTTACCTCAGAAATAAAAGAGAAAACTTTTTTGGTTTGAACTACTAAGAATGTTTTCAACTACTATTATTTTTTTGTGTGTGGGTGGGAATAGTCTTATAATGGAAGGCTTTGCTCATGCCAAATTTCACTTAACCATCTCTCATCCAAAAATATTAGTAAAACAATGGAAGGAAATTGCTGGCTAATAGGAAATAGATTGCTTTAGTTATTCATTTTGCCATTTCTTTGCTAAGATAAGCATTTTGCAGTAAATGAAATTTAACATTCTATTTAAAGTCCAGAGGATAATATGATCATCTAAGACAGAATTTCATGTTAAATATTAATTTTTATAGAAAAAACTATTGCTTACAAAGGAGTCACAATCTGTTGTCTTCTCTTACATGCACATTTCACACACAATATACAAGTTATAAGGCATGACATCCTAATTTATCTCATCAGTGATTGGAAGGGAAGAAGCCATTTTGTGACAGATTATCACATATTCTGGAGTATGTAGCTCCATTTAAACTATATTAGTAACTCAGTTTAGTGTTAATAATAATTTAGTGTTACATAATTTATGATTAAAATCACCCTAAAAAGCTTCCCTGGTGGCTGTGATGGTAAAGAATCTGCCTGCAATACAAGTTCATGGGGTCACAAAGTGTTGGACGTGACTGAGCAACTAACACTTTCACAAAAGGTAAAACAGTCAAAAAAATGAAAATAAAAAGAAAAAAAATGGTAGGGATAAATACATTAGTGTAGTCATTTAACTTTCAAAGTTATCCTAATATAGAACCTTATTTAAGATACTAATATAATCAGTAACCACTTGTTTAAACCTTCAAATATTTTTGCACTTACTATGAGATAAAGATCAAAATTCTTTATGTGCCTCCAAAACCCAAGGTCATCTGCTCACTGACTTTCTCTGTTCCTCCTTTGTATTACAGGAAAGGACAAAATCTGACTCTATGTTGGATCTGCTTATTTAACCTTTTGCTCCCTGTTGCTTTTGTTTACTAAAAGGATACTGTCTATACATAGTGGCCTGACTTGGGGAACCCTGCCCCTCTGCCTGAATATTAAACCAATGTACTTTTGTTGAGGGAGACAGCCTGACCCTGTCCATCTGGTACAGGCAGGAAGAAATTAATATATCCCCTCCCCGAAGCCGAGCATTCCAGGAGATGTATGCAAGATTAATAGCCTTTTTATTTTACTTCCTCATGTCCCTCCTCTCTGTCCTATAAGAGAACATGGTGTTCAGACTTTGGTAAGATGGTTATTTTGAGACATTAGTCAGCCATCTTCTTGGTCTGCTGACTTTCTGAATAAAGTTGTTATTTCTTGCCTCAACACCTCGTCTCCAATTTATAGGCCTGTCATGTAGTGAGTAGAGTGAGCTTGGACTCGATAATACTTGTGTCACAGTACCCTCTTTCTTTCTGACAACCCTCAATTTCCTTTCCTTCCTCTTAGGCAAAGTTCCAGTCTTCTCCAGGTACTTACACCTACTTTTAGCCCCTTCATCTCTTTGCTTAACTAACTCATAATCGTCCTGTGGGTCTCAACTCAATTTTCTCCAGGAAGCCTTGCCTGATCCTGTACCCTCTGGCTGCACCTTCTTCACCCCTAGTCCACTGGGGCCTCATTGTTTTCTCCCTGCTTACTGTCCTTCTCCAGTAACATCCATATTTTGTCCCAGACCTGGAGGCTCAAGTAGGCCAGAGGTCATTCCTGACTTCATGGTGTATCTTGCATCTGTCTGACTGTCTGATACATTACAGGCAAGAAATATATATTGGTTGAAATACTATATAGATAAATGAATAAATGGATGAAAAATATGTCAGAACTGACTACAAATATGTGTCTCTGGTGAGTGGACAGGCAGACTTGATTCAAACACAGTGAAAATTTTATTCTGCTCTGTGGTCACAGACTGTGATCCCTTTTGACAACCTACCTAAGGAACAGATACCTTTGTTAAAGAGGAGGTCCAACTGGGAGCTTATAAGGGAAGAAATGCAGACTCAATCCTCAGGCCCTAGGGGTATACCAGTAATTAAATGTGTCATTTTTCTTAAGAGAATAGATAGTTTGTATTGTCTATCTCTGTTCATTATACCTGTGAATGAAAGAAACACTTATTTTCATTTATTCTCTATTTTGTTATTGCTATTCCCTTTTCCCAGATGTCAGGAACACTTAAACTTCATTATTTTTTTCTGTTTAAGCAGCATTTTAAGAAGCAGGAAAATATATTTTATAGACCTTGCAGTTAGCTATTGGAACACAACTTTCTATCTACATTCAACTGATATTTTAGCCTAAAGTTAAGATCACCCCTAAAGTTAATAATATTTTAAATAAGTCTATAAAATACTTTCTATGTTGAAAGGTCACTAGAGCCTTTCAAAATAATTTCAATTATTGTGGATTTTTTTTTGGGGGGGATCTTAGTATGTTTTGCAGTAATGCACATAGTTAAATCACACTTGGAAACCTTAAATATTCACAGAAACCAATGGGATTACTGTCTGAGTTGCAGGGGCAGGCAGTCCTGCATTTTCCTTACCGTGGTTTTTTCTAGGCAGTGAAGCAGGTGGTGGTGCTGGGTTTCAAAGCTGGAGCCAGATTTGCTAACAAAGGCCTGCTCATCCTCGGAGGACTGTTAACAGAGAGAAGACAGAAGGGCTTTCTATTTTATTTGCAAACAATGAGAATCTCAGCTACATATTTCTACTGAGAGATCTGGCCTATTTTCTGAGATTAAATGGCAGTATTTTATTTTTACTTTCTTTTTTTTAACTGAAAAGGATCAAATATAGAGTTCCTTTTGAGTTTGATAATCATCATTTACATTTTCATCAAATTAGTGGTCTCAGCTTTTAGACTTGCCTCCCTAAATTGAAAAATATAATTCTCTTTTACTCATTCATCTCCCAGCTACCTTTGAAAGTCTGAGAGCCATTATTTTTGGATAATAATTTTTAACCTAGTACTTAGATAATCCTGAAACCACATCATGCTCACCTACACAAAAGCTATTATGTAATAAGTAAAGATGATTGGGATCCTAAATATTCAAAGAAAGTTTTAAGGTGAAAATTAAGTTTCTCAAATTACATTTCATACTATGTGACTTTTATAACACTGAATGATGTTCCCTCCTCAATAAGAAGTACAGTAAGTCCCTTACATACAAACCTTCAAGTTGTGAGCTTTCAAAGATGCAAATGTACATCTGGTTCCAGCAAGGAACCAGAACTTGTGCCATCAAATCCAGGTGTGAGTGAAATTGCGGCTTGCCTTCCAACTCCTATTACTGACAATCCTTTAGCTCTACCATCTCCCAGGCCTCTCCCTCCTCCAGTCGATAACTCTTGCCTATTCACTCAATGCAGTCCCTGTGTGCCGGCTGTGGTTCTGTACTACTCTAGTACAGTATATATATAGTATAGTACAGTATACCTTTTCAAGGTGCTAGCTATACTGTCAGATTAAAAATGTTTTCTTTATTTTTTGTGTTTGTTTTTTATTATTTGTGTGAAAAGGATTATAAAGCTATTAAAATACAGTACTATGTAGGTGATTGTGTTAGTTGGGTATCCAGGCTAACCCTGTTGGACTTATGAACACATTGGACTTATGAACACATTCTCAATACAGAGCTTGTTGGTATGTAGGGGACTTACTGTAAAACGAGATATCACATCACCCCTCCCATCGACACCCAAATGAACTTTAAGGAACACACCTAAGTTTGAAATAAAAAACCTAGGTATCTGAACTGTTGAGAATTTTCCCCATGTTTACACAAGATAGTGCCAAATACTGCCCTATCATGAAAGGGAATCATGACTCACGGCAGTATGACATATCCTAGCTTCTAGCCTACAGCCAGTAAGATGGTACAGGGTGAGATTACATTAACAAATGACACTTTTGTTGTTTCAGAGCCATTTTCATAATTACTCACAATAAAATTACATGGTTAAGTAGAACTAAATCAATATTGCACCAATAAGTTGAACATTAAAAGAAGAGAAATTCTTGACTGTACCTGCAGTTGGTTACTGAGTAAGCCATTCCGTTTGCTCTGCATGTAAGCATTTGCACTTCCGCTTTTGGCTGCCCGGATCCTGGCCAGTCTGGCTTTCTATAGGAGCAAAAAAACACAATGTCCTCCTAAGATCTATGGTTGGTTTTCTTAAAACACTGATTGCACGCTTATATAATCCTGTTATCAGCACACATATTTAAAAAAGCATACCAGCTTTTCACACTAACTATTGAAAAATAAACTTTCAACATTTGAGTGTTTGATTTTAGCTAACATTTATCACTGAGATTCTTGTGTTGTTGGAAGAGGGTGTTTGCTATGACCAGTGTGTTCTCTTGGCAAAACTCTATTAGCCTTTGTCCTGCTTCATTCCGTACTCCAAGGCCAAATTTGCCTATTACTCCAGGTGTTTCTTGACTTCCTACTTTTGCATTCCAGTCCCCTATAATGAAAAGGACATCTTTTTTGGGTGTTAGTTCTAAAAGGCCTTGTAGGTCTTCATAGAACCATTCAACTTCAGCTTCTTCAGTGCTACTGGTTGGGGGTATAGGCTTGGATTACCATGATAGTGAATGGTTTGTCTTGGAAACGAACAGTGATCATTCTGTCGTTTTTGAGATTGCATCCAAGTGCTGCATTTCAGACTCTTTTGTTGACCATGATGGCTACTCCATTTCTTCTAAGGGATTCCTGCCCACAGTAGTAGATATAATGGTCATCTGAGTTAAATTCACCCATTCCAGTCCATTTTAGTTTGCTGATTCCTAGAATGTCGACATTCACTCTTGCCATCTCCTGTTTGACCACTTCCAATTTGCCTTGATTCATGGACCTAACATTCCAGGTTCCTATGCAATATTGCTCTTTACAGCATCGCACTTGGCTTCTATCACCAGTCACATCCACAGCTGGGTATTGTTTTTGCTTTGGCTCCATCCTTTCAGTCTTTCTGGAGTTATCTCTCCACTGATCTCCAGTAGCATATTGGGCACCTACTGACCTGGGGAGTTCCTCTTTCAGTATCCTATCATTTTGCCCTTTCATACTTTTCATGGGGTTCTCAAGGCAAGAATACTGAAATGGTTTGCCATTCCCTTCTCCAGTGGACCACATTCTGTCAGAGTTTTGCCAAGAGAACGCACTGGTCATAGCAAACACCCTCTTCCAACAACACAAGAGAAGACTCTACACATGGACATCACCAGATGGTCAACACCAAAATCAGATTGATTATATTCTTTGCAGCCAAAGATGGAGAAGCTCTATACAGTCAGCAAAAACAAGACTGGGAGCTGACTGTGGCTCAGATCATGAACTCCTTATTGCCAAATTCAGACTTAAACTGAAGAAAGCAGGGAAAACCACTAGACCATTCAGGTATGACACAAATCAAATCCCCTATGACTATACAGTGGGAGTGAGAAATAGATTTAAGGGACTAGATCTGATAGACAGAGTGTCTGATGAACTATGGACAGAGGTTCGTGACATTGTATAGGAGACAGGGATCAAGACCATCGCCACAGAAAAGAAATGCAAAAAGGCAAAATAGTTGTCTGAGGAGGCCTTACAAATAGCTGTGAAAAGAAGAGAAGCAAAAAGCAAAGGAGAAAAGGAAATATATTCCCATTTGAATGCAGAGTTCCAAAGAATAACCAGGAGAGATAAGAAAGCCTTCCACAATGATCAATGCAAAGAAATAGAGGAAAACAACAGAATGGGAAAGACTAGAGATCTCTTCAAGAAAATTAGAGATACCAAGGGAACATTTCATGCAAAGATGGGTTCAATAAAGGACAGAAATGGTATGGACCTAGCAGAAGCAGAAGATACTAAGAAGAGGTGGCAAGAATATATAGAAGAACTGTACAAAAAAGATCTTCACAACCCAGATAATCACAATGGCGTGATCACTCACCTAGAGCCAGACATCCTGGAATGTGAAGTCAAATGGGCCTTAGAAAGCATCACTATGAACAAAGCTAGTGGAGGGGAGGGAATTCCAGTTGAGTTATTTCAAATCCTGAAAAATCATGCTGTGAAAGTGCTGCACTCAATATTTTCCAAATATGCAAATTTGGAAAACTCAGCAGTGGTCAAAGGACTGGACAAGGTCAGTTTTCATTCCAATACCAAAGAAAGGCAATCCCAAAGAATGCTCAAACTACTGCACAATCGCACTCATCTCACACTCTAGTAAACTAATGCTCAAAATTCTCCAAGCCAGGCTTCAGCAATACGTGAACCATGAACTTCCAGATGTTCAAGCTGGTTTTAGAAAAGGCAGAGGAGCCAGAGATCAAATTGCCAACATCCACTGGATGCCAGAGATCAAATTGCCAACATCCACTGGATCATCGAAAAAGGAAGAGAGTTCCAGAAAAACATATATTTCTGCTTTATTGACTATGCCAAAGCCTTTGGCTGTGTGGATCACAACAAACTGCAAAATTCTGAAAGAAATGGGAATACCAGACCACCTGACCTGCCTCTTGAGAAACCTGTATGCAGGTCAGGAAGCAACAGTTAGAACTGGACATGGAACAACAGACTGGTTCCAAATAGGAAAAGGAGTATGTCAAGGCTGTATATTGTCACCCTGCTTATTTAACTTATAAAACGCAGAGTATATCATGAGAAACACTGGGCTGGAAGAAGCACAAGCTGGAATCAAGATTGCCGGGAGAAGTATCAGTAACCTCAGGTATGCAGATGACACCACCTCATGGCAGAAAGTGAAGAACTAAAGAGCCTCTTGATGAAAGTGAAAGAGGAGAGTGAAAAAGTTGGCTTAAAGCTCAACATTCAGAAAACTAAGATCATGGCATCTGGTCCCATCACTTCACGGGAAATAGATGGGGAGACAGTGGAAACAGTGTCACACTTTATTTTCTTGGGCTCCAAAATCACTGCAGATGGTGACTGCCACCATGAAATTAAAAGACGCTTACTCCTTGGAAGAAAAGTTAGGACCAACCTAGATAGCATATTTAAAAGCAGAGACATTACTTTGCCAACAAAGGTCCGTCTGGTCAAGGCTATGGTTTTTCCTGTGGTCATGTATGGATGTGAGAGTTGGACTGTGAAGAAAGCTGAGCACCAAAAAATTGATCTTTTGAACCATGGAGTTGGAGAAGACTCTTGAGAGTCCCTTGGACTGCAAGGAGATCCAACCAGTCCATCCTAAAGGAGATCAGTCCTGGGTGCTCCTTGGAAGGACTGATGCTGAAGCTGAAACTCCAGTACTTTGGCTACCTCATGGGAAGAGTTGACTCATTGGAAAAGATCCTGATGCTGGGAGGGATTGGGGGCAGGAGGAGAAGGGGATGACGAAGGATGAGATGGCTGGATGGCATCACCAACTCGATGGACACGGGTTTGAGTAAACTCCAGGAGTTGGTGACGGACAGCGAGGCCTGGCGAGCTGCGATTCATGGGGTCGCAAAGAATCAGACACAACTGAGCGACTGAATAGAACTGATCACTGAGATTGATGACCTGTTTCGGAGTTTAGAGGTAAGAATGGTAATTAAGCTTTTACAGTAAGATCAAGTTATTTCAGCGCTTCCCTGACAGCTCATTTGGTAAAGAATCCATCTGCTATGCAGGAGACCCTGGTTCAGTCCCTGGGTTGGGAAGATCCCCTGCAGAAGGTATAGGATACCCATTCCAGTATTCTTGGGCTTCCCTTGTGGCTCAGTTGGTAAATAATCTGCTCACAATGTGGGAGACCTGGGTTTGATCCCTGGGTTGGGAAGATCTTCTGGAGACGGGAAAGGCTACCCATCCCAGTATTCTGGCCTGGAGAATTCCATGGACAGTGCATGGGGTTGCAAAGAGTCAGACATGACTGAGGGACTTGCACTTCAATTTCAAGTTATTTTAGTGTTGTTTATGGTCAATTGCACTAAGAAAAATAGCAGTCTTACTTACATTTTTACTTATCTTATGACCAACCTGGGTAGCATATTAAAAAGTAGAGACATTACTTTGCCAACAAAGGTCCGTCTGGTCAAGGCTATGGTTTTTCCAGTGGTCATGTATGGATGTGAGAGTTGGACTGTGAGGAAAGCTGAGCGCCAAAAGATTGATGCTTTTGAACCATGGTGTTGGAGAAGACTCTTGAGAGTCCCTTGGACTGCAAGGAAATCCAATCAGTCCATCCTAAAGGAGATCAGTCCTGGGTGTTCACTGGAAGGACTGATGCTGAAGCTGAAACTTCAGTACTTTGGCCACCTCATGGGAAGAGTTGACTCATTGGAAAAGACCCTGATGCTGGGAGGGATTGGGGGCAGGAGGAGAGGGGGACGACAGAGGATGAGATGGCTGGATGGCATCACCAACTCAATGGACACGAGTTTGAGTAAACTCCGGGAGTTGGTGATGGACAGGGAGGCCTGGTGTGCTGCGATTCATGGGGTCGCAAAGAGTTGGACATGATTGAACGAATGAACTGAACTGAACTGAGAGAAATGAAGACCCAGCAGACTAGCCACCAACTTCTTTTCATTTAAACCAATGCTCTTTTTAAATTTAGTAATTAAGTTCCAGGAACCTACTGCCGATCTTCTCTTTCTTCCTCTCCTCCCCACTCCTTCCCTCCCTTCTCCTCTCTGTTTCTTACCTTCCTCCCTCCCTCTCTCCTTCCTTCCTTCAGTCCCTCTCAAAAAAAAAAAAAGACTATTCAGTTGAATCTGCATTCTTGAATTTCAAATTTTGTTTTTGCAACTATTTTTATTCAATTGGCCAATGAAGTCCCCATACCGAACAACAAGGGCTCTCTTAAAAAAAATCCTCAAATTTATCCACTTTGTTTACTGGTTGGACTTTGATAGTCCATTCTACTTTAAATCTGTTGTTCTATACATGCCCCAGACATTCATGGTAAGGGTCTGGTTTTTGCTTCCTGAGGAGCACTAATTTTGTGATCATTCTGTTCAGATGAAACATGTCTAGCAAGTGTATTAAGAAAGTGACTGGGATGACTTGGGTAAGTACTTGTACAATTACCCTACAGTGACCCCTTTGCCTTTTCTAAACAACCAGAGGGAGACTATCTCAGTCTCTAATCCTGGAATCTTCTTTTTAACAAAACA